GAAGTGGAAATCCTAACCCACATTGAAAATTATAGGAACATTCAGGGTGAATTTGGTAAGAAATTGTTTTAAAGGGATCCTATGTCTAGCAGGTCTTGGGATTTTTTTCATGAGGAAAGCTTAAATGTGCTGAGAGTGGCAGAATCCATCATTTTTTACCACTACACTACACCATGTGTGGATTCCCCCCCCCCCCCGCAATACCCTAAGGCTAATAATGGGTTAAACTGGATCTTTTTTTTACCTCTATACATTTTCTCCTTAGAGGCATTCTGCAAGATGAGTTAGGCAGTAATCCACCCTCTGTTTTAACTGAACGCTAATGGGTGGTACCAATGACTAAGTCAATGTCCTCCACCCTGCTTCAGTCAGATGGGTGTCTGTGGAACTGAAATAGAGGACAAAACATGGGTTTCTCAGTGTTCCAATGTATGTGGATGTATAGAGTTAAATGGATGTATAGAGTTAAAAATGAACTGCTTACTCTAAAAAGAGGATATTTTATTGGTGACTGGGCTTCTGTTAAGAGACAACTTATGCTCAGATTCCACTTCTTTGATAGGTGGCTCTGCCCACTTGTCATAGTTGGCCAGTGAGGTGGAGAGAGATAAAGATATGGGCCAAAGAGGTTCCCCATCCCTCACCTAAAGGTACATTTGTTCTCCAAAACACCTTTTTTCAAACACTGGTAGAATATAGCCAATCACTGGCCTCATTACAACCACTGAACATTACACCACTACAGCTTGGACTCAGCAGATTTCTATTACTGTCATTAGAAGTGCTCATTTTTTAGAAAATTCTTCATGCACTTTTTCTGATGAACCTTTCCTTTTAACTAAAATATTGTTTTTCATAACACTATTGCCAAGGAGCTTGGTGAATGTCTGACGTGAATCTGATTTATAATTATTCTTCCAAGTTGTCAAATTTTTGAAATATTCTAGTGGAAATGGTAATTCAGAACAGCTTTCTTCTTAGAAAATGCATGACAGATTACCCATCATTTTCAAAAGATGAACAGATATGGACCTTGATAGATCCTGATGATGGCAAGCTCTTGACCAAACTCTTATGGCAGCATGACATAAAATTCCATTGTGTTTTGCCAGGTAAAATCGTCTATTTTTGCTTAGCATCCTAGGCAAATATGTTTGGCATTTCACTATGTATCAGTGCCAAACTTTCTGGTGTGTTTTCAAGAAAGGAATGAAAAGACCAGGCCACAAACTACTGCAGTATATTAAGTGCTTGGGAGGATTTCTTGGCATCATCAACAGATCTTAAAAATCACAGAAATAGTTGCATGTGGCAGTTAATAACAAAGTTACTACAGTATATGCGACGCCCAAGCCAAGGAGATACCGTATTTACTCAAATGTAATGCACACCTTTTTTGGCCAAATTACGTTGCGAAAATTAGGGTGCACATTAGATTTGATAGTGCATTTATATTCGCCAGCAAAAACCTTTTTTGGTTCCAAGGTTTTAAAATTTGAGGTGTGCATTAGATTCGATGGCACATTGTTGTTGTTGTTGTTTAGTCGTTTAGTCGTGTCTGACTCTTCGTGACCCCATGGACCACAGAACGCCAGGCACTCCTGTCTTCCACTGCCTCCCGCAGTTTGGTCAAACTCATGCTGGTAGCTTCGAGAACACTGTCCAACCATCTTGTCCTCTGTCATCCCCTTCTCCTTGTGCCCTCCATCTTTCCCAACATCAGGGTCTTTTCCAGGGAGTCTTCTCTTCGCATGAGGTGGCCAAACTATTGAAGCCTCAGCTTCATAATCTGTCCTTCCAGTGAGCATTCAGGGCTGATTTCCTTAAGAAACTCCTTAAGAGTCTCCTCCAACACCACAATTCAAAAGCATCAATTCTTCGACGATCAGCCTTCTTTATGGTCCAGCTCTCACTTCCATACATCACTACTGGGAAAACCATAGCTTGAACTATACGCTTTGTTGGCAAGGTGATGTCTCTACTTTTTAAGATGCTGTCTAGGTTTGTCATTGCTTTTCTCCCAAGAAGCAGGCGTCTTTTAATTTCGTGGCTGCTGTCACCATCTGCAGTGATCATGGAGTCCAAGAAAGTAAAATCTCCTCTAATTCCGCCATCTGCAATCCCCTGCATCATATCCCATATCATGCCCAAGGGCCCCCCAACTGCTAGGATCACATATTGGTGTGGGGCAGTGAGGTCTGAAAGCCCCATTCTGAACTTTCCTCTATTCAAATAAAGAGTCCATGGGACTCTCAAGAGTCTCCTCCAGCACCATAATTCAAAAGCATCAATTCTTCAGCGATCAGCCTTCTTTATGGTCCAGCTCTCACTCCCATACATCAGTACTGGGAAAACCATAGCTTTAACTATACGGACCTTTCTTGGCAAGGTGATGTCTCTGCTTTTTAAGATGCTGCCTAGGTTTGTCATTGCTTTCCTCCCAAGAAGCAGGCGTCTTTTAATTTCGTGACTGCTGTCACCATCTGTAGTGATCATGGAGCCCAAGAAAGTAAAATCTCTCACTGCCTCCATTTCTTCCCCTTCTATTTGTCAGGAGGTGATGGGCCCAGTGGCCATGATCTTCGGGGGGGGGTTTATGTTGAGCTTCAGACCATATTTTGCACTCTCCTCTTTCACCCTCATTAAAAGGTTCTTTAATTCCTCCTCACTTTCTGCCATCAAGGTTGTGTCATCTGCATATCTGAGGTTGTTGATATTTCTTCCGGCAATTTTAATTCCGGCTTGGGATTCATCCAGCCCACCCTTTCGCATGATGAATTCTGCATATAAGTTGAATAAGCAGGGAGACAATATACAGCCTTGTCGTATTCCTTTCTAAATTTTGAACCAATCAGTTGTTCCATATCCACTTCTAACTGTAGCTTTTTGTCCCACATAGAGATTTCTCAGGAGACAGATGAGGTGATCAGGCACTCCCATTTCTTTAAGAACTTGCCATAGTTTGCTGTGGTTGACACAGTCAAAGGCTTTTGCATAGTCAATGAAGCAGAAGTAGATGTCTTTCCGGAACTCTCTAGCTTTCTCCATAATCCAACGCATGTTTGCAATTTGGTCTCTGGTTCCTCTGCCCCTTCGAAATCCAGCTTGCACTTCTGTGAGTTCTCGGTCCACATACTGCTTAAGCCTGCCTTGTAGAATTTTAAGCATAACCTTGCTAGCGTATAAAATGAGTGCAATTGTGCGGTAGTTGGAGCATTCTTTGGCATTGCCCTTCTTTGGGATTGGGATGTAGACTGATCTCCAATCCTCTGGCCACTGCTGAGTTTTCCAAATTTGCTGGCATATTGAGTGTAGCACCTTAACAGCAACATCTTTTAAAATTTTAAATAGTTCAGCTGGAATATAATCACTTCCACTGGCCTTGTTATTAGCAGTGCTTTCTAAGGCCCATTTAGATTCACATAATACAGTAAATAACTATACAACCTTTGGAAGACATCTGAAGGCAGCCCTGTATAGGGAAGCTTTTAAATATTTAATGTTTTATTATGTTTTTATATGGTATGTTGAAAGCTGCCAAGAGTGGCTTGGGCGACCCAGTCAGATGGGTGGGGTATAAATAGTAAAATTATTATTATGGAATAGGATGTCCCCAGGCCCAGCTACAGCTAGGAAACTGATAATGGGGAACACAATGATCTCTGGTGTATGACTTTTGCAGGCTGATGGTAGGGCCTTTTGATAATAGTTTCATTGCTGCTCCACTGAGCTTTTCACATGCCCTCACGGGGCTTTTTGTAACAAAAGAAGAAGAAGAAGAAGAGTTTGGATTTGATATCCCGCCTTTCACTCCCTTTAAGGAGTCTCAAAGCGGCTAACATTCTCCTTTCCCTTCCTCCCCCACAACAAACACTCTGTGAGGTGAGTGGGGCTGAGAGACTTCAAAGAAGTGTGACTGGCCCAAGGTCACCCAGCAGCTGCATGTGGAGGAGCGGAGACGCGAACCCGGTTCCCCAGATTACGAGACTACCGCTCTTAACCACTACACCACACTGGCTCTCAAAAAAAAAAAAAAAAAGGGAATAGTGCAAGTGTAGATAGGCTGATGGATGTTCAATGGGTCATGAACTAATGGTAGATCTAGCTTTAAACATGAGCAGCAGCAGCAACAACAATTTTATTATTTATACTCCGCCCATCTGGCAGGTTATTTTAAAACTAAGGGGGAGTTTCATTCAGGTTGAATTTATGTTAAAGTGCGATATTACTGAATTTAGCTATTAATTGTTAAAACATAGTTGATCACAACAACTAAACTTTTACAGTGACTACAGTGTATTCCAGAGGCTCAGAAACTGACAATATTTTATATATTATTCCTGACAGCTTTTAAATCAATTTCACAGGTTGCTGAACTTGTGGTTTTGAATTGGGAGCTGGCAATTATGCAGTTCTGCTTTCTATAGAGCCCCATCTACACATCTGACAGCTCCTTTTGAACTTCCCTTTGTATTCTCCAAAAGCCACACCATTTCCCTTGGTAACATTGTATTGTGTGACTATAAAATCAGGCGGAATCTGAATGGTCCTAAGAAACCATAATCTAAATTTATACAAATAACTGTGCAGGCAATGCTGGAAAAGATATATAAGGGAGGAATATGTTTGCTATTGCAGTTACAAGGAAAGGCAAACTATTATTTTAAAGTAGAGAGGAAAGCTGGACAAGGGTATATTTTCTAAAAGCATTGTGCATGGACTCACCGCCTAATTTATTATTGTAACTGTTTTTGCTGTTGCTGCTAAAGTCTTATAGACTAACTAAAGTATTAAAGATTAATCAGTTGTTACACAATATGTAGAAATGCCTGTCTAACTAAAGTAAACTAGACTAACTAAAGTATTAAAGATTAATCAGTTGTTACACAATATGTAGAAATACCTGTCTTAAGCCATAAGAAAAGGCGAGGCGGAGGAAGCAGGCTCAGCCCCGCCACTGACTTCTCGAAGCCCCCGGACAAGTGTGGGGGGGGAGCCTGAGCTCAGTCGTGGCCATGGCACAGGTAGCGGCAGAGAGGAGGGGCAGGCAAGAGGCAGTCTGCTGGGGGGGGGACTAAGCCTGGGAGTTGCGAGTGTATCTTTTTGTGTGTGCCTTAAATATTTATTTGTTATGATATTTGGTTTTATAGACAAGAACCAATTCCATGCATAGAATATAAAAGTCAAAGCCCTATGAGATCATCTTATTATTTTAGATGTGATGCTGGCAGTGAGGTGAAATGAGCAAGGACAGTTATTGTGTATTCAGAACATGTGTGGATTGTTCTAAGGGAAAAGGCACATTGACTCTTATCCCCTTGAGTTTAACATGTGATTTATTTATTTTTAGTTAACTATTGAAAAACTAACACACTGTTTAATCTTATTAACTATGTTGTGTTTAACCCTGTTCTGTGCACTATAGATGTATTACAGTTTGAGCTTTATTTGTCATTGTCACCTACGCTTTCAAGAGTTTTTCACTGCCCAAGTTGAAAAATGGCAGTGGGTACGTATAGTATGGTACATCTCTTCCAACACCGGCCAAGAAGGCTTCCAAACATGTATAAATGGAAGACATTTCAGGTTTTATAATAATAATAGGAATTTTTCAAGGACTCTACAGTCGTACCTTGGTTCTCAAATGCCTTGAAACTCCAATGTTTTGGCTCCCGAATGCCGCAAACCCAGAAGTGAGTCTTCCGGTGTGCGAACATATTTTGGAAGCCGAATGTCCAACACAGCTTCCGATTGAGTGCAGGAAGCTCCTGCAGCCAATTGGAAGCCACGCCTTGGTTTTCGAATGTTTTCGGAAGTCAAACGGACTTCCAGGATGGATTCCGTTCGAGAACCAAGGTACGACTGTATTGGGATGTGGCATTACACAGTTTTAAAGATGAATTTACACAGCTCCTAACATTGTTAACAAAACTCAGATTAAGAATGTTACTGGTAACTATAAAAATACCAAAACATTTCTTGGTATAAGTAATATTGTATGTATTTGGGCATTACGCCATTCTATTAAGTACTCATCTGTTAGTGATTGTTTGGAATTATGGTAGTTTAAAAGTGTGTGCTAATTGCTATTTATATAGTGCTCTAGAGTGTTTGAAGAACTTCATATGTAATCCTTACAGTAGCCATGTAAAGAAGAGCTGAGGCTGCCTTGCTGAGGTGAGATTTAAAATTGGGACTGCAGGTCACACTCTGACATGCAAATGGCAATTGTACTGACATGCAAATGGCAATTTAGTCACAGTGATATATGGCATGGAAGCCGGTGGAATTGCATGAAATGAAGTTTATGAAAGTAAAAATTTAGTATCACACTAGTTCTGATAATATTGGTTGCAACCCAGCAAAGAAATGCTGCAGCCCTCCCCTCCCTAGATTTTCCTCTCATCAGTTGCAGTTGCAGAATAACGTAAACCAAAAAGCCTTTATGGCTTTTACAGCTTTCTGTGGAACCTTTCTGTGCATGTAGTTTGGATTGTAGCCAAAATAACAAGGAAGAAGAATGAAAAGATTGGCTGTTCTTTGGTATAATTTAGCAAGTACAATCAGAGATACCGTCTTACCTTTAACATTTTTAAAGGCAGTGAGGCATAGGCTGTAAGCATCTACCCAAACGATGACAAAACATGACTAATTATTGTGTCACCAAAAAATGTATCCCAAGGAAATGAATTAGCAGCTTTTTCTAGGCAGTAAATGATTACGTATCAAAATGTACTAAATAGAAGCAGTCAGCAATAATGAGATCTTTTAAAGATACATCTGAAAAGGACTTTAACTCACTAATAGCAAACCATGTTTTCTTGCTATGTATGTGAGTTCTCAGACTACCCCACCCCTCTTTTGACCAACTGGTGCGGAGATAAGCGCTTGCTTTTTAAACAAACCACATTTCATAATGTCTGAACTTAGAGCTTGGGTTTGTTTAAACTCTTGTGAAAGCAGTAACAACATAAGATCCTGATTTCTTATTTGCATTTTGTATTTGTCTTTCTCTTTTACAGAGAAGAATGTAAATCTGTACCAAGCTTTAACACTAATTATTTTAAAGCAAGTATTTTTGTTTATTGAAATGCAGAACTTCCAAAACATGTGATTAACGGCTTATTCTGGATTTTTAAAAATGGCTCAATACCAACAATGGGGTTTTTAAAAAACTAAATTTCAGCCAACCCATTCAACTCACCCTTTCTCAGGGTAGTGATTTTTGGGGGACAGGGGAATGGAATTTGCGAGAGTGTTTTACAGAAACATGGATTTTTCCTGTGTCTCCTATTTTAGCTGTAGTCTCAACATTGTGGTAGTCACTTTGCCAATGGTTCTAGGAACCATAATTGCTGCTGCAACTTGTGTGGTTTTTGTGAATGTATGATAGGAGGATGGATCAAAATGTGAATTTCTAGTACTGTACTTATGAACAAAGGGACACGGGTGGCACTGTGAGTTAAACCACAGAGCCTAGGGCTTGCCGATCAGAAGGTCAGCGGTTCGAATCCCCGCGATGGGGTAAGCTCCCGTTGCTCGGTCCCTGCTTTTGCCAACCTAGCAGTTCGAAAGCACATCAAAGTGCAAGTAGATAAATAGATACCACTCCTGCAGTAAGGTAAACGGCGTTTCCATGCGCTGCTCTGGTTCACCAGAAGCAGTTTAGTCATGCTGGCCACATGACCCGGAAGCTGTACGCTGGCTCCCTCGGCCAATAAAGCAAGATGAGGGCCGCAACCCCAGAGTCGGTCACGAATGGATCTAATGGTCAGGGGTCCCTTTACCTTTGTTACCGGAAAAATCCGAGGGCTCTCTTGGACAAAAACAAAGACACCAACCAGGATAACTTGGAGCAAAACAGCAGCCTGTAGGCTTGGCCTTTATTGAACTGTTGCAACAGGGTGTTCCCCTCACTCGCAGGAGAGAGGAAAGACCCAGAAAAATAGTGTGCCAAGTCTTATAAAATCTTTTGAAATTCCCCTCCTCTAGGTCAAGCCCACCCCCAGAAACATCATGCATACATTACAGAAAGGAGGGGTTGAGGGAGGAGTTGGTGGTAACCTGAGTATCTTGTCACCTGGCTGGTTCCTCCTTTCCTCCCTCCCCATGAGTTACTTCCAGGAGACAAAGGGGAGTTTGCAGTTTCCTGCCCCCTGAGGGAAGATCTGATCATTGTCCTTTGTTTCAGTCTGTGGTGAATCCACTGTTCTTTGTGATTTTGATTGTCTTCTGTCTGGGATCATCTGGGCAGGGCTCCTGCAGATGTGCTGAGACAGTGAAGGGATTCTGGCTGACCAGGGTCAAACCCCCCTCCCCTTTTGTTAGTTCTTGTCATATGGAGTAAAATAAAAATGGAACAGTGCAAATCCAATGTATGGTTGATTTTCTATGAATTTATAACAGAAATGTGGCGTATGTAGTGTGTGAGTGTGTGTGTGTGTGAAGTTTGTACAAGCAGAATGATTGGGGTGGGGGGTTTCCTGCTACAGTTCCCCCCTTCGGAGATAAGATTGCAAAGGTGGCTACTTTGCAATCCTTTTCTCCGCACAATTTAAGGTGGTAAATAATAACCTGGTATTCTCCGTCCCAGATGTGTGTGTCCATGTGAACCTGAAAGGGACTTGGATATCATGCTACTTTAAGGATATTTGCATGGAAATATAATGGTGTAACAGTGCACATAGTTAGACATAGGATATCACGTAAATTAATATTTTGTTGCTCATTTACTTGTGGTATTCTAGCACCTTGGAAGAAATATTTTCTCAATAGTGATCTATGCTTTACATTTAGGCAGGAAGGTCCACTAATGACTGAAAAGTGCAGTTTGCTTCCCCCCCACCCATTTGTGTGTTCTCAGGTGTCAAGGTAGCTCTTCTGTGGTCTCACATCGGCATGGTGTCGCAGTAGTGGCAATCCCTGCTGAATCCACTTAGGGCTTTCATGTTGCCTGGCACCCACCACAGCTGGCACAGGTTTCGGGCACGTCCTGAGAGAAATGCCTTTGCCTTGGCCAAAATCCATGGGATTTCTTATTATTATTACAGGCTCTGGTCTTGCATCCTGGGAAGTTGCTCACTTGCACTTTAAGGACCAAAAAGCTAATTGCAGCCTGGATACACTTGCCCAATTCAAACTGAGTCCAATTTGAATTTATGTGCCCATGGTTCTCAAGTCCTCAAACCAATCTGTTAAAGGAAAACCGTTCTTAAAAGGGCACTTTGTCCAAATAAGTCAATTTAACTCTATAAGGGATCATTCCTGCTAAACCAAAGCATGTGCACCTTCATGTATCTTATAAGCTTCTCCTTGGTAAAGCAAGTTTTAGCACATTTTAAAATGGATAGGGAAAGTTGGCAGAGTGCCAAGTGGGACAATGAAATGTGGTTATCTAAACATTGGACTACACAATAGTGTGAGCTATCAGAAAGTATAAAATGCATGAGAATTGGTGTGCAAGCAATAAGACATTAAACATAAAAATTACACACAAAAATACCCCCCCTTGTGGAAATAACACACTGTCAGACACATTTCAACATTCCTACATAATAACACTTAATACAAAACAAACTAATTAAATATCAGTTGCATATCTTGACACAATTGTGATCTTTTACGCATGTATCTTTTGAATTCTGGAGTGCAGAGGCTTGAGGTTCAAGTGAAAAGATGTCCTTGCAAGTCAACTCCACCCCCCTTTGTCAGCCCCACTCCCCCGTCAGTCTATATCCTTTGAAAGAGATAGCTGTGGGCACTTTGAAACTTTGGTGTCTGTTGCTGCTGCAGCCGGTGGCTTTTTCATCATAGGTCTGTAGTAACACATCTGTAGAAGTGATATCCTGTAAGGGGCAGGGTTTTGGAGACTTAAAAGACAAGAGTTAGGAAAAGAAGGGGCAAAAGCCCCCTCCCCAAGAAAATCTCCTTGAGTTATCAGCTGCAAATAATAAAATCTTAGCATGTTAAGCATTTTACTCATTTTAATATTATTATCACATTTCCATATAATTACTGTTATTAT